TCGGGGTGCGACCAGAGTCACGGAACGAATTAAGTTCATAAACCGAGGTTCCACTGTAAATACGCTTGCTTTTTCTTTCTACTGCCTGCAATAGGCTAAATATGATTGCCCTTCTAAAAATACTTATGTGTGTAGGAGAAATTTCTTCATAGAAATCTTTAATAATGAGGCTTAAGCACACCCTCATGAAAGTGCACATTGTTTCTTTAGGCTAACCTAAAAAGGGGTGGGGATGTAGATAGTGTTAGGCACATTACAATATGCCTGTGATTAGATACAGGTACGGAGTATGTGATTGACTCTGGTAGCACATTGTGTGTTTAGTGAGATAGTTAGGGCAGAACTATGAGGTAATAAGGCCAGTATTACAGAGATAAGTAAAAAAGGCAGTATTTCTTGGACAGTTGTTTTTTTTGTAGAGAGTTACTTCTGTGGGTTTATCTTATACTGGCCTTGCTTCCTATGCTTGCCTCTTAGTGTCTTCTCCTAACTCTGTCAATACTTTTTGGCCTTCTTAATGTTTTATGGCTGAGCTGACAATTTAGTTTACACTGGGCAAGTGTATCTGGGGAGAGGGTAATTTACTTGCCTTCCCTAATGCCATTCTTTCTACCAAAAAAGCTTAAGATCCCATATTCAGTGAAGAACGAGAATCTCAGTACTTACTTTACTGTTGGGGCGTGCTGCTGTTGTTGTTATTAGATTTTTACCCTGCCTTTTTTTATATATAACTCAAGGCAGCGAACATACCTAATACTCCAGCCTCCTATTTTCCCCACAACAACCCTGTGAGGTGGGTTGGGTTGAATATTAAGTTCCATTAAATTCCTGGTGACTCCATGGATTAAAGCTCTTCCAGCTGTCCTGTCACTCACTTGGCAGGGTAAAAAAAATTAGAGCAAGCAGCCCCATAAATTTTTGCAGCTAAGCAGAGGTGTTAATTTAAAACAACACGTAGCAGTTAAATGTCTCATGATGCTTTTCAACAGGTTCTTGCCTTTAACAAAGGAGTGTGACATTTAACAAGTCTGTTCTTTTAGTTCTTCCTTTCAGATGCAAATAAAGGTTAGAAATTTCCATGGGCAAGCCTGTTTCTTTAAAAAAAGTTGTTGTACATATTTTTAATTAGTACTTCTTAAAAACATTTCCTACACTACAGGCATTTGAGACTTAGGTGAAGCATTATGTGAGATGTGAGTTGGAGAGCCATTAGTCTTTTTCAGAGAAACAAGCATTGTGGATCTGTGAGTGCTTCCTTTTTATTGTTCTTCCATCCCCACTGGGAAGTTAAGTCTCTCCTCTCCCTCTCCCCCTCCCCTCCCCCTCTCCCCTCCTCTTTCATGGTTGGAAGACCATGAAATCCAACCAAGAAATCTTTGTTGTATTTCTTCTCTCACCTCTTCTGTGGATTGGGCAGAACACTTCACAGAATCTGTTTCCATTTTTCTCTAGCTTTGGAGCAACAGAACATTTATGATCCAGGCTGACATTTCCTTTGGCCAGAAAAAGTTTGGCTGGTAGGCAGTTTTGCAGAGTTCAATAAGCAAAAGATACAGGTGGCTGTCTCCGAGGAGCTTACAATCTGGAAAAAAAAACCCTGAAGAAACAGGATAGAAAGATGAAACTGAAAAGGGATGTGGTTATTTGTTCTCTCTCTCACTTGGGTTTTGAGTTTCCATCAGCATGGAAGCTTGCTGCAATGTGGATGACCAAGGCTAATGGCCTTTGTAGAGTTTTGAGCAAGAAGGAAGCTTTCAGATAATTACCTTGAAAAAGGGTACCTATCATATTGTTTCCTTCTCTTGTACAAGTATGTGCACACGTACACCCTGAACCGAACATGTGGTTATCTCATCTCTCAATACGATCATGCTTTCTAAACTACATCACTGATTAGAGGATAATTGGTTTGAAAGAGAAAGAAATCCTTCCCCCAACCCTCCCAAGAGTTGCAGGAGGAGACCAGCCCTGGCACTTGCTTTGTCATGCCCTGTCCTTAGTCTGATTTTGACTACATCCTCATAGGGGAGGAGAGGGATGGGCTCAAAAGCAGCAGAATTTTGTTCCAGCTGAATGTGGATTAGACTTAGAGCAACACTGGAAAAAGTCTATGAAGCTGGATATTATAAAGCTTAAATTATTTAATTTAAGTTAATTAAATAACTTAAAGTAAACAATTTAAATAATTAAATAATTAAAGTGGTTTAAATAATTAAATTAAGTTAAATTTTAAAAAGTCTATGAAGCTGGATATTATAAAGCTTAAATTGGAAGTGTTGCACCAACGGCTTTTCATAAGTGATGATCAAAGTAACCTGTATTCTTGAATGAGATCAATACTAAGACCTGGAACTCTTCCAGAGGCCAAGGCTGCACTCAGCTGAGATTAGGGCCATCGTTGTGTGTCTCCCCAGCATCAAGAGGCGTCTAGGGGTTGGATGGTTGGTTCCTCACTTGCTTTGTCCTCCCTTCTGGGGCTCCCCCCCCCAACTTAAAGTGAACGCACTGTGGTCCCTAGATGCCATTCCCGGTTGATTTCTGGCCTCCCTGAGAGATGGCAAGCATAATGGCCCTTGGTTTTTTGCTGGATATGTCAGGGTTTTTCGAATTGTGTTCTGTGTAGCCCTAGTGTTCCATGAGAACCTCATGGGACTCTGTAAGAGATTAAAGGCAAGGAAAAAAATTCACTCAAACACAGGGAATTTTCTGTTGCTAGAGCTTTGCCTCTTGATCGGGGATTCTGGGATTTTTTTTTTAATGAACTGATTCCACGGCCTGAAAAAGTTTGAAATCTGATTTACATCTTCCCTCTCTGTGAAAAGTAAATGCAGCAAGGGAAGAACAAGTAGTACAGAAGGTGTGGCTAACTTCCATTTTTAACCCTTCTCATTTGGCCAGCTGGAGAGGGCACTGACCTGCCCAAGGAGGGAAAGGTCCATTATAACAGTGTGAGGAGTCATATAACAGTGCAAATGTGCTGTGTACATCTGAGGAGTGAATCTAAAAGCAGTTTGGAAGGGGCATTGGTTTATAGTAAGTACTGTATGGACAGGGGCTACATAAATAACTCTTAATGTTTAGGGGCATGAGCTTTTTGGACAGCTGGTGGGAGGAATTATTATTGAGAGAACTGAAGCTTACTCTTCCTCTCATGTTATCAACCCTGCAAGGTAGGCCAGTTCAAGAAACAGGCACAACAGGGCTACCAGGAATGCTCTTTATTGTGGTAATATAGAATAAAAAATCTTGAAAACCTGTCCAAGTTCCTCTCTGACCCATTCATACTAAACTATGAGTCACTATACGTGAAATGGGCAGCTATATAAATATGATAAATAAATAAGCAAACAAAATCAAGGCAGGGTTATTTTGAGTTTCATCTCAGGACCGTGTAATCTCTACTCCAAGTCTCCCCTTAATAGTTTGCTCGCTCCTCCCTCCCTCCCTCCCTCCCTGATTCTCTCATACCTTTGCCAAATTCAACTCTAAATCTCATTTCATTTCAACTCCCTCTCTCCAAACCATTTCTTTTGCTCTACTCTAGAATAAATGTGGTTCTCTCTTTTAAAGAGAAAACATTTTTTTCCTTCCTTCTCAGAATAGAGGAACCTAAAGGTATGCCTCATATCTTTATGATGCATCCATTATGTATGTTTTTTTAACCTCAAGTAATTCAAGGTGCTTTTGTCGCTAGCTCTTTTGCTACAGTGCTGTTGTGGCCTTTCATTATTCTCTCTTTATTGATGCAGACGAAAATCCTCAACTGTAACTCTGCTGCTTGTAAATTGGGCTTCCAGCAAAAAAAAGAATTGAACAAAGTTGGAAGTCTCTTAAGCAGTAGAAATGATAGAGGCACAAGTTGGTGAATAGTTTAAAACTGATTTCAGCCTCCAGAGATTGCAGCATGTGCTTTGCAGGACACCTTTCCTGGATTTTGTGTGATCTTTAGGTTCAAATTGCTTGTGGCATGTTCGCCTTCTGTTGCCAACTGCTTGCCAAGCTCCCTTGTTTAATGCACACTTTTCTTTTGCACCCTGCTGCTTTTGTTATGCTTGGCTTGGGAGTGGGTGGAAATAAACAGCACCTAGAGGGTTCCCCCCACCTTTCTTTCTTTGAGTCACACATTTAAAGGATACTTGAACAGTTACACAAAAAACAGCCAAGAAGGGAGAATAAAATAGCTTTATAGTGCAGTTCTGTACATACCTACTCAGATCTAAATCATACAGAATTCAATAGGGGTTCCTACTGCTGCTACTACTTTTTTAAGTTGGGTATCCACCTCATGTTGTAGAAGCAGGGACAAAATAGTTGTCTGATGGAATGTATCTATTTTATTAATTTGCTGGATTTATATCCTGCCTTTCCTGGTGGAGCTCAGCTTACACGAGAATCTGCTTTCATTTTATTCCCACAATGATAACCCTGTGTGTGAGAGAGTGACTGGCCCAAAATCACCCAGTGAGCTCCAGTGATTGAGGGTGGACTTGAACCCAAGTCTCCCTGTTCCTAGTTTAGTATCTTGACCACCATGCCATGCTTACATTACTATTAGTGCAGTAGGTGATTCAATAGACTGTCTATGCCAACCCTGCTCATCCAGGAGCTCTGTCAGATGGCCTTGGTCTTGTCCCTCTCTTCCAGAGATACTTGGAGGAAAAGAAAATCGGTGAGATGGTGATTGCAAAGTATACTGTTGAATAGAGATTATGTTATGAGTAATAATGGTGGACCAAGAATATTGGATAAGGCAGAAAAGTATTTGCAGCTGGATCACACAGTGACCCCTTTTTGATTCCTCAAGTTCTGGCTGCAGTAACACTTTGTTGTAATTTAGTGTAACATAATTTGTTCTCGGTTAAAATACAAATGCCTTTAAGCTCATTAAGATTAGCATCACACACCCTGTAATTAATGCAGTAGGAAACTCAAGCATTTCTGCCAAAAATATACAGTGTGATTGCACATACATATTATCACCGGCTTTATAAACTAGTAGCATTTTTGCAAATTGCCTTGGACAACAGATGGTTTAGAATCTCTGAGCATCTGATAGTGCTGGGCAAAGGATATTGTCAGCTAGCAAAGTGATCTGCATAATCATTACATCCTGGAACTGCTCCAGTTGGCGTGAGCCACCGGTTAGGTTTCTGCTTTGTCCAGTATGGATGAAAAATATACTTTAAGGAGGGCTCCCTTAGTGATCTGCTAAAAGTTATATTATGTAATTGAGGCAAGGAATTGGGTTACTAAAATAAAAATGAACTGCGGGTCTAGTGTTACCCAGAAACCGATTCTTACAGGAGAGGCTAGTTCTACATTGTCGAGGCTTTCCTGAGTGCCTGATTAGATCAGTTTCTTATTCTGAGGACGACACAAATTGTACTTCTCTCTTTTTTCTGCAGAGGCATTTGAAGGAGCCATAAACACATGTGGCTATTGACAAAAATGGTTTCTTGGAGATTTGGGCAATACAGACATTCAGGAACAAAGATATGGGTATAATGTTCTGCATCTTCTTGTCGTGTTATTGATCTTGAAAACAAAATACCGATTTGGGTACCAGTTTTTAGCACCTACCCATGAAGGATTCCAAACCCTTCACCATGTAACTCACCGCAGCCTCTGAACTAATTTGACAGATTTATAGCAGTCTTTCCCTACCTGCTGCTTTCCAGCATGCTTTTCCAGTTCCCAGGTGGTCTGGGAACCATGGGACCTGAAGTTGGAGACTTCTTTAGAGCACTGTAGGGATTGGTTGCATTTTCGCTCTCTCTTTCAGCGGACCCCTTTGAAACAATGTTAAAGTCCTTGTTGCAGTATCAGTCTGGCCTGGGTGGAGACATGGCCGAGAGCTGCTTGAGGAAAAAACTGTATGAAAATGGTGTCACCAAGCTGCTGCCGAGTAATTTTCCAGTCATCCAGAAGGTGAATAGCTTTATCTGAGGGCAAATTGTTTTGCTGAGTTGTATGGGAGGGTCTTTCCTAGGAAGATACATGATTCAGAGTCTTTTTAAAGGCCATGGTGCATCGAGATCTGACTAACGATGGAATCAGATGTTTTAAGGTTTTTAAAAGTTGTTTATGTTGTCTAATCATTCTCGAAGATCTTCCCAGTGTAAATCTTGTCTGGCACACTTCCATGTTATATCTTTCCTGTGTTTTCAAGACAAGTTAAATTAAAAGTCTAATAATGAACATGCCTGAGGCTGTTTTTGACCCTCCCTGCTTTACTCTGTCCTATGCTGGATTTTAGCAGAGCTTATAATGTTCTCCAAACCAAAACAATTGGCATTTTTCTTTATTTTTGATGCTTTATTTATTTTATTGTAATTTCTTTGATTGTTGTGAGTTGCCCAGAGGTGCTGAGAGCCAGCCGGCATACGAATTTTTATGATGATGACGACGACGATGATGCATGTTTTCAACATGATCAGGATTGCACAGGCAAAGAGAGAGCCTCATTTTCCCTACACAAGCTCAAGTAGGAAGTTGTACCAAATAATTTGAAAACCTCCATGGTCTGTCAATTAAAATTAAATTGTTGAAAATAATTAGTATATCTGGACCTGTTTCAATCGGGTTTCAGATTGGGGCACAGTATAGAGACAGTGCTGGTCACTCTTGTTAGTGACCCTTGGCAGAGCCAAGATGGAGGTGCTCCTTGATCTCTCAGTGGCTTCCAGCACTGTTGACCACAGTATCCTTCTGGGCTGGCTGCAGGGGTAGGAGTGGATGCAGGGATTCATCTCCTTCCTCAGTGGTTGGTTTCAGTCGGTGTTGACAGGGAGGGAGAGGTTGCACCCACCGCCCCTCATTTGTGTGGTGCCTTTGGGCTCGGCACTCTTTCCTCATCTACATGAAACTGAGGTCATCCATCAGTTTGGGTTTGGTATCCTCAGTATACTAAGGATACTCAGTTGTATATCTCAACGCCAGGCTGTGCAGGTGAAGCTGTTGATGTGCCAACCCAGTCTGGAGTCTCTTTGGGTCTGGATGGGGCGGAACAGGCTTCGGCTCAGTCCTGACAAGACTGGCTGTGGCTCTTTGGCCCCCCGGGATTGGGGACGTTTTCATCATTGGTGTTGGATGGAGTAGCACTTCCCCATTCTAGACTGGTGCGCAACTTGGGGGTCCTTCTGGACTTGCAGCTACTGCTCAAAGAGCAGGTGGCAGCTGTGGCCAGGAGGGCCTTTGCACAGGTTCATCTTGTGTGCCAGTTGCACCCCTTTCTTGACCGGGAGGCCCTTTAGACAGTTACTCATGCTCTGGTTGCCCCACAATTGGATTATTGCAACGTACTGTACAGGGGGCTGCCCTTGAAGACCACCCGGAAGGTACAGTTGGTGCAAAATGCAGTGGTGTGAACAGTAATGGGCACATTCCTGTATGCCCATGTGTTCCTACTGCAACGTGAGCTGTATTGTTTTCAGGTCCGGGTGCAATTCAGGGGGCTGGTCATGACATATAAAGCCCTTTATGGCATAGGGCCTGGATGCCTGAGGAACCACCTACCTCTGTTTGTGCCTGCCTGGTACATCCTGGCAAAGTGGGTGCACTCCAGGTCTCTTCTATTAAATGCTGTCATTTTATGGCACTGAGGAAGCATGCCTTCTCGGTCATGGACCCCGTCCTCTGGAGTAGCATCCCTCCAGAGATACGCACAGCACCTTCTCTCCTGGGGTTCCGAAAAGTGCTTAAGAACTGGTTTTGTTCCCAGGCCTGAGGTTGATGTGGTTGTGGGGCCCCTGGTTTGAGTTGTTACTGTTTGATTGTTTTCATGCAGGCTGCCTGTGAGATTGTATGTTTTTAGCTGATTTTATTGTTTTGTATTGGTATTTGTAAGCCACCAAGAGTCTATGGGAGTGGGCGGCAATAATGAATTTAAATAAATAAATAACAATGTTGATCTATGACTTGCCCATCCCTAGTCCCAATCAAATCAGTTTTATTCACGACATGTGGGCCACCTAGTTCATTTTTATGGGTTGTAGTATCACAAGGATTCAGAACCTCTGGAGTTGGCATTTCCATTCACTTCCTTTGGAGGAAGCATCTCCATGCCCCTCATCCTTTTGGTCATACAGACCTGCTGTGTCCAGTGAAAGTCATGGAGGTCTGTATTCCCACAGGCGCTCTCTGTGTGCCTTAAGAATCATTGCACCTTCCCCAAAGCACCACTAGATGGGAGACATTGTATCAGTAGCTGAATGCTAATCTGATATGTGTAGGGATGGATTTCATCACAATACTTTAAAATGCATTGCTTTGATTTTCTAGTCAACAGGACATGTAATAATATTTAATTCATCCTTTTCAGTTTCCCGGGAATGTAAAGAGATTGACACATTTATTTTTTTTGTTTAAGCTGTCAGAAGAATTGCTATCAAAATGGCTAACTTTCCCTGAGTCTCAACACGTGCCCCTCAGTCAACACATGTTAGGCTTTGCAATGAAAGCTGTTACACAGACTGCTATGGGCAGCAGATTTGAAGATGACCAAGAAGTCATCCGATTTCGTAGGAACCATGATGTGGTAAGTCCACAGAAAGAGGAGGCAGGAATATTCTCTTCAGTTCCATTTTCTACCACTGGGAGACAAACCACATAGATATAAGTGGAAAGGCCTTGGCTCCAAGATGCAGCTTTGCTAATCTCCTTCAGTTATTGAGTAATAGCCGGTAACACCGCTTAGCTGACTTTGGCTGATCTTGGAAACGCTAAGCTGAGTTGGACCTGGGTAATGCTTGGATGGAAACCACAAGGAAATTCCAGGGCTGCAGACTAGGCTGGGAAATTAAAAAATGGAAAACCACTTCTGTATTATTGCCAAGAAAACAACATGGAATATGCATGTGGTCACCAGGGGCTAAATTCACCTCAAGGGAAACTTGGATTTCAGTTATTGAAATAGGCTTAGATAGCCTGGCTTGTAGGACATTGCATATTTTGCTTGTAGTACAGTATCTGCATTAAGAACTTTTAAATGAGGAACCCTTAATCCATTGAGCTGAGAGATCTTTTCCTAAAGTCTCTCCCCACAGAGAGAATCAAGTGCAGATTTAAGGGCAAGCAATGCTGTAAAAACAAAAGCTTTCAGCTAAAACTAAAATGACAGACAGTGTATGATTTCAATGTCTTCTTTCTGAATCCAGCCTGCTCTATACCAGTATTATCTTCAGTTTAATCTCAGACTTCAGGTATAATACCTACAATAGTTATAAGTATTGCTGTAGTAATTTGAATCTGATCTAGATACTTTCTAAAAATGGGAATAATTACTGTATTACTTCATGTATCAGGAAGTCTCTCTGTTCTTGTAATTAAGAGAATAGACAGCCTAGGAACCCATCATATATCCTTTAGGATTTTAAGAAAAATTATATCAAGCCCATATGTTTGTCTTATTTTCTGGAAGCTAAGATCTCTGTTTTAGTCCACTGATATGGAAGACCAGGAAGGAAGTCACAAGTCATAGTAAAAGAGACATTTGAAATTTAAATATTTTACAATTCTAAATATATTTAATATTCACATTACTTAAAATGGATACTGTAGTCCAAGATGAGTTTAGGCGAATGAAGATGAGATACACCCAATATGCTCATAGTCCTCCAAGCGTTTCGTGGGGTTTATTGTGTGACTGGTTCTGTGTACAGTATGGTTTCTTCTGTAGGTCCTTCAGGGTGCTGCAAACTTGGAGGCTGCGTATTCCTTTTGATCATAGCTTTAAGGCAAGGGATGTATTGGGAGGAGATGGGCGAGGGAGAAAATAAACAAACAAACAAATAAATGTATTTATTAAATTTACACCTTCCCCTTCCAACAAAAATAGCATTCAGTGTGACTACTCATGGAATACAAATACAAATAAAAATACATAATTATCATTAAAGCAAACTCAACAATTAAAAACTCATCAATTAAAAAAAAATAACTAGCAGCAGTCATCAGACTTAAACTTAAGGCAGCATCAAGTCAAGTTAAATGCTAAAAGTCAAATGAAGAATGTCAACAAGAGATAGGGCCAACCAGGCTAACCTTTGCAGGGAATTCCACAACATACCCATGAAGAAGGTCATCTTTAAGGTTCACATCTAGTGTGTCTGCAATGTTGGTTGGCTGACACCTGGGCAAATGCATCTTAGAAAATGCAGTTTTTCAAACAGCTGGCCATTGAAGGTGATAACTATCACTTTGAATTATACCTAGAAATGAATTGTTAGCCAATGAAACTGTTGTAACAAAACAGTTACATGCTCTCTATAGCTGGAGCCAGTCAACAATCTCTGACCACAGAGGTTTATTGAAATTTCTGAACACTTTTCAGTGGCAGCTCCTCCTACAGTACGAATGTAACTAAGCTAGGCGCCATTGTGGCTAAATATGTCATCTGCATGAATGGGAATCCAAGGCACTGAGAAGTCCCAAGGGGGCATACTCTGTCCAGTGCCACGTGTAAGTCCACCTCCCAAGGCTACCTGGACAGATTTTAACTAAGTCTGAAGCTGGATGGAAGCATATCTAGAAAGCCTATTTAATCCAGAAGGGAGTCGAGGTACTACCATATTCTTCAGCACTCTGCTCAAGAATGGAATATATATGGAATTATCCAGCATAAAAAGATTGATTGCCAAGCATTTATATGGCATTTTTCAGTTGAAAAAATGACTTCCCTTTTAGCATCATCCTTTCCTTAGTACAGAAACCATGTTTGACATTCTGATAAGACTGAAGTAAGTCAAGACTTTTAATAAATTTAGAAGGATAACAATTATTATCTATTTCTATTTCAGATCTGGGCAGAAATTGGAAAGGGTTTCTTAGATGGTTCACTTGATAAAAGCGTGACCAGAAAAAAGCAGTATGAAGATGGTGAGTCCTATTTTGTATCTGTTTGACACATGTACATGGCAAGGTGATCTAACTGAACATTTCTGCATAGCATTACGTTTTACTGAATGTTTCAGAAATTGTACTGTTTTATCTAGCATGTAAGCAGATAGATACACCATGAGCATTGTTTGTTCATCTCTTTTTCCAAATGCAGGATAGGGAAATAAAACCACCCCAACTGGTCCCTCCTTCAACACTACATTGTTTCTGCAACACCTGTTTGTTGACCATTCAAAGGTTGTGTAAATTTTGGGTAAATACTGGAGGCTGACAGATGAAATTTTGTTTCTCCATTCATACATGCATATGCATACACACACACAGACACACACACACACATGGAACCAATGGATAGGGCTATACTGAAATAAATGTGTTTCAAATCATTTTTCATCTACAACAAGGGAAGCAGTCATCAGAAGCCAAAGACCAGCTGCCCAACTTGATAGGATGTGTTTCTAGGACAACACCCTCTGCTAGCTAGAGGATGACCTCATTATTCTTTGTGTTTAAAGCCCTGATGGAAATGGAGCTGGTCTTGAAGAAAGTCATAAAAGAGCGCCAAGGAAGGAGCTTCAACCGACACATCTTCATCGATTCTTTACTGCAAGGGAATCTGAGTGACAAGCAGGTATCTGCCTCTTTGATGTAATTAACTATTAATGGAGTTCCCTCTAGATCGGCTGCTAATTATGTCTTGGCAGTGTTTGATTAATATAATTGCCTCTGTTGTATCTCATTTGATGCAGTCTTTTTCCTTGCTAGGATGTAACGTGTGTGACTTTACTCCAGACCTTCAGGCTTGAACCTTTTTTTTTTTTTTTAAACAGTAATATTTAATTACCTGAGGGACCATCTCACCCCCATCACATCAACCTGTCCCATCCAGTCAGGCAAGGAGGGCATGTTGCGGACCCTGTCAGTGAGAGAATGTGAGCTGGCAGGGCCCAGGAGGAGAGCCTTCTCTGCCGTTGCCCCTGCCCTTTGGAATATTCTCCCCCCAGAGGTATGGCGGGCCCTTACCCTCCCAGCCTTCTGGAAAGGATTAAAGACGTGGCTCTGCCAGCTTGCGTGGGGTGACAACAATCTTACCCAATCCTGGGGGTGACTGGTGCTTTGATGACATTCCCCGAGTGACTGCCAATTTTAACGTCTATCCTTGGATCTATTTATTTTCTATTTATTAAGATTATCGGATATTGTCATTTTAATTGATTTTAACTGTTTTGCAAACCGCCCAGAGTCGTTTCAACAAGATGGGCAGTGACAAATTTGATATAAAATAAAATATATAACTAAAAATAAATGTTATGGTATGCACTTAACTGCTATAGTGATGCGGATAGGATTATTGTTGGTATGGGAGAAGCTGTTCTTAATGTATTATTTTAGCTGACTCCTGAATGGCAGGAAATTCTTTGTACCAGATCTAAAACTAGAGTGAATTTTTACTTTTGACAGGACATGGCTATGAACTAGGGAAATAGAGGATAAGGTGCA